ATTCTTACCCCCCCCCCCCCTCTTTCTCCCCTCCGGGGACCAGGTAGTGGAGAATTCTAGTATACTCTTACTATATTTATTCCTGTAACCCTAATGCAGAGGAAGTGAACTGTATCCAAGGACTCCAGATCTCTAAAAATTCAGGATATCGATCATGGAAGCCATCCATCCTTCTTATAAAATTGAGTTCTTTAACCCATTTTCTAATTTGCGGAATTTCTGAATACCTGCAATATCGTGCTATCACTGTTCTGGCAGCAAAAAGAAGAACGCGGAATAGACCTTTCTTTACTTCTTTTATTGTTCCTGGTATGATGGTTAGTAATGCCACCTCTGGGGTTACAGGTCTCTCAACACCACTAAGTTGGGCTCCTATTTTAAAAATGACCCCCCAGAAGGGTTGAATCTTTTGTCAAGACCACCAAACCTGTGTCATGGTGCCCTTTTCAACTCCACACCTCCAGCAGCAGTCAGATACATCTGGGAAGATCTTGTGTATATGGGTAGGGCATCTATACCATCTGGTCAGAATCCTAAAATTACATTCCTGTATATGACTTGAAATGCTTGATTTAAATGTTAGAACAAATTAACGAGTCCAATCGTCTGCAGATATCCTATAGCCTAGTTAATTTTCCCAACCTCTAGTATAAAAGGGATCATTAGGAAAGGCATGCTTCAAAAGCATACAGTATACCTTAGAGACCTTATGTTTACATTCTGTTCTGTTCAGACATAGATCTTCAAATGGTGTCAAGTCTTGCCTAAGGGGGCCTGCTCCACCCAGTTGTAATGACAGATCAGCATCCCCAAATGATCTGATCTGTCAATAACAACTGACCGAAGGCAGCTGATTAAACAATAGCAACTGACCGAAAGGCAGATGATGTACGGCTGATTTTAGCCGATGTACGGCTGAAATCAGCCGTACAACGCTAAAGTGAATAGCCGAACAGCTTACTTCACTTAGGCTTGGTTATTCGATCGGTTGCCTTCGGTAGCTTAGTGAATTACCCTTTTTGTCTTTGAAGCATTTATACGATAGTTACTAAGACGTCTAAAATGCTCTATCTCTTTTAAAAGTGAAGGGAAGGCAAAAGTCGGATTAGAGATATAAAGAAGTGGATCATCATCCACTCAACTGAGCCGAAGTGACAGCCGAATCGGAGGGAACAGCCTGCCGAAGGCCGGCCTTTCGCTCCGCAAATGACAGCTGGGCAGAGCCAGCTGTGATCTTAAGGCTGGCTCGGCCCAGTTATAATGACAGATCAGTGTCTCCAAATGACCTGGGGACGCTGAACTGTCATTAAACAACAACAACTGGGCAGAGCCGGCCGTGACATCACGGCTGGCTCCACCCAGTTGTTATTCATTAGTCGGGACCTGCTAGAAGACTCTAGCAGGTGCCGGCCAATAGGAAACAGTTGGGTGGAGCTAGCTGTCAC